GCAATCATGTTAATAATTTTTCGCGAGACTGGCACTCCCGCATTTGATCACGGATTTAATTGAGCGTAGTTTCAGCCAAATAAGTTGGTCAGTTCTATTTCAGGAAACCATTTGTTGTTCGGATGAATCAACGAAAGGCAGACTCAGAACACCGTGAGATGCCATTTAGACAACTCACTCTGTGATTCTGCCAAAATTCGCCGAGCACACTAAGAGCGGAATGCTGGAGAACATGTGATTAGGGCACCACAAAACAGTCTCTATACTTACTTTTCCCATGTACAATTCATCTTCGATGATCTGAGCATTAGCATCTAGGGTTTTGATTTGGTTACAAAGATTTCTAATCAGGTACCAATGCTTGGATGAATCAATTCACTGGAATTAGTTTCGTTGCGAATAAGTACTATTTTGTTTGCCTGCGTTCTGCTTGTGCAGCATAACTATAGTCTGCAAATTCCAAGCAGTTTGATCAATCCGATTTTATAATTGCTACCACGTGAAAAAAAATTGTACGAGTGAGAGGATAAAGGGGATATATCAAAGACGCTGGGTTATCCAGATGAGGACTTCCATTTTCGCACGTGGCTTACTTTACCCCCAACAGATTTAAAATTTCACGTGAGTAGTGGAGGATTAGGTTAAATTTCAAATGGGAATTCGTCGTGTATATAGCAAATGATGCGTGAACTGAAAAGCTCGGAAGCACTGGACAGTTGTTTCGACCTGGTTGGGTCTCATCAGCAGTGCGAATCCATCGGGGATCGAACCCGGGACTTCATGGGCAGGACGCAAGCACGCTACCCACTACGCCACAGGGCAGCTGACCAGACCGCTTTTCATTCCCATTTGAGATTTAAAATTGTTAGTATTATTATTACGTAACTTAAACCCCAGTATTTCGACGTTTAGCTAGGAGATGCTAATCAGGTTACGTAACGCAATATTATGTGCACAAAAGTTTCTTACACAATCAGTGAGACTGCCATGGACTTGATTTCCCACTCCACCCTCACCCCGCTTCCCTGACCATTGTCCGTTTTACCACTGTAGTTATCAAAACTTGCTTGTATAAATGCCAGATTGTTTTACGTTGTAGCGACTGAAGAGATTAAAAGAAATGTTAACATCTCGCAGTATTTGTCTTCTCTCGGTTCTAACTAATTGGATAAAGGGGACCCAATGTTTCAAGTTAAAATTATTTGCTTACCATAACGACAGCTAGAAGTGACATTTTTCTACTGTGAACTGATCTGGAGGTTTGAAGACACAAGCATTTTCACATTTTAACTCCGCCGTGGTCACTTGCTTGTGCATGAACTCATCAGGTTTGAAGAAAGCGCTCTATGCATTTTTCACAGCCGACACGGTTGGTCTCTGTTTTAGTGGATTGAGACGCTTCGTAGGT